ATATATATAAATATATATTTTTAATTGAAGAGGAAAGGGTATTTTTTAACAAGTATCTGGTTTCTTGTCTCTTCCAGAGCTCATCCGTGTCTCCCTCGGCCAGTTTTCGGAACCGCGAGAAGCACAGGAGTTCGAGCGACTACTCCTCCGACAGCAAGAAACAGAAGACGGATGAGAAGGAATTGGCCCCTACGCGCTATGTGAGTCGACATAAATGTTACCTTTTCTGAATTTGTCATGGACTTTATATATAAGAAGTGGACGTAGTCACTGTGGCGTCATCCATTGGTGTGTGGAACGCCGTTTTGAAGCCTCGAGCTCGGCATTTTGGCTGTCGCTGTCTTGGTTTTTGGCCGTCGACATTTTGGTTTTTGGCCGTTGGCGTGACCCCGGCTTTTTGCAACCAGAAGTAACGTGACAGATTGGTGCTAAGTACAACTGAACGCTGAATAAGACATTTTTAGGCGACCAGAAAATGTTACAATTAACTTTTATGAAGTGAAAACACACTGTGAAAGGGTTAAAGTCATACGAAACAACTTGCACACTGGACCATGCCGAGGTCACAACCCTTCAATCACAAGGTAACCACGCCCTAAAACATACCCTGCTTTATTGTCTAGTTTACTCTAAATGGGACCATAATTTAATAAAAGAACATCATGACATATTGAAGAAGACTTGTAACTAGCGATAAATCAAGTGAGAAGTAGGGTCATTTTCTCATAGGCTTCTATACAATCTGACTTATTTTTGCAACCAGCGGAGTCGCCTACTGATGGCCATTAGAAAGAATGCAGGTTTAAGGTAATTTTGCATTTGCGTCACTTTTCAGATCCGGAGGTTGATTTCAATTTCAAGAGGATAAAATGTGGTGACATTTTGGACAGACATGGATGTAAACTGCAACTCTACTGGTTGGCGGAGGCCTACAAACGCGAGGGCTTAATGTAGTTTATTTCAATGTGTTATTTCTGACGGTAACATATTGGAAAGAAGAAGAAGAAGTTATTTAGTTGATTGTTTTGTGTTCATAACTACATTTGCATCACTTTTGGCAAAAATTTAGTCTGGGCTCAAATTTTCAGAGTTTTAGAGAAAAAAGAGGAGTTCAAACTTTCTAATACAAATTCAGCAACAAAACAAGGGCAGCCTGACAGGTTTTCCCTCATATGAGCCACATTCAAACCCACTCTTTTTTTTCTCTTTGGACAACACAGTGAGAGAGAGAACTGACACGTCAAAGGGTGTAGCTTGGATTTGAACTCAGCTTGTTGCAGTTTACGACTTGTTCTTCAGCCAAACGAGCCATCTGGAGGATACACAATGGAACCATTAGGTCCACTTTATCTGATAATTAAAAACTTGCAAAAATACAAAAGGAGTAATGTCAGAGGAACGACTAAAATTGTCTTTGTGGTCTTCTTTTAGAGCATTTAATTAAATCTTTGATTTTATGATCACCCTTTTTATTAATGTACATGCAATTTCTATTTCATGTACTATCAAATAAATGGAATGAATTTGAAAAAAGCACAGATTATCTGTATTTTTACTGTTGGAGAATATAGGTTGATGGTTTTTCCTATGACACCTGAGAAAGTGGACACACAGTGGCAGATTTCAAGTTTTCGTCTATTTAATCCATTAAAAAAACAAATGCTCCACACAAGAAATGCACGTGTTTTCACTTTATTAGTTTGTGTAAATCTAGTTCCAAAATCGTTTTCACCACAGAGTGAAAGTCACGTGTGTGTCCTCTATGTGTCCATCAGGAAAGTGACGGAGAGAAGAGCGACGACAACTTGGTGGTGGACGTCTCCAACGAGGTACGACGCGGCGTCTTTTGTTTTAAAAGAGAAAGAAAGAACATTAAAATCCACCTTTCTGCTCTCATCCTTGCTTGTGCTCACCGCCGCAGGATCCAGCGTCTCCCAGAGGAAGTCCTGCCCACTCGCCTAGGGAGAACGGATTGGACAAGAGTCGCCTGACGAAGAAGGACGATCCGCTGAGTCCGTCCTCCATCGCCTCCTCCAGCAGCACGCCTTCTTCCAAATCCAAAGAGATTAATTTGGTGAGTCATCGAGGGAAATTATAGCCCACTGATCTTCCTGTTTGTCATTTCTGAGGGTAGTTCTCTATTTTTTAACTGGGCAAAAATTCTGTTGGTAAAAAGATGGTAAACCCTGGATTATAGCAGGTGCAGGAAACACATAATACATTTTTACAGAATATACATTTTATGGGTCATAAACTCTGTCACAGCATGAATAGTTCCTGTATTATTTAATGGTTCTGCTTTGATATTAAATTTGTAAATGGCTGCGTGTCTGTTCCTCCTGCAAAGCAATGTTTAGCCTAGTGTTTAAACCTTTCTTGTGCTGTAGAATGAGAAGTCCACGACGCCCGTGTCCAAGTCCAGCACCCCCACCTCCCGCTCAGACGCCCCGACGCCGAGTAGCACCTCCACCCCGGGCCTGAGGTCCGCACCGGGCAAACCCCCAGGAGTCGAGACGCTGGGTGAGCGTTGCAAACAGAGCATAACACTTCTCATGTTACCTCTGACTCAAATGTTGCAACTTGTATGAGATGGTGTTTTTGTCTTTGTAGCTCCTGGTCTTCGTACGCCGCTGGCGGTGCCCTGCCCGTACCCAAGTCCGTTTGGATTGGTTCCCCATCCGGGCATGAATGGAGACCTGAGCGGAGCCGGGGCAGCCTACACCGGCCTGCACAACATTTCTCCTCAGATGAGCGCGGTGGCCGCCGCTGCAGTGGCAGCTTATGGACGCACACAAGTGGTACCCGAACACACACAAACACAAGTACCAACAGTCTGAATATGGAATTAAGTTTTGCCTGCCAAGGGCTGGTAAACAAAACAATCAAATAAATTTGTAACAATTTAAAGGTGCTCAATACGGAATTCAGACTATATCTATTGCCTCCACACGGCTCTCAACATGGCGACGGCTGAGCCGGCAGCTCACAGCTAACAGTGCTAACAGTGCAAACTACAAGTGCTGACAGAGCTAACAGTGCGAACTACAAGTGCTGACAGAGCTAACGATGTTTACCTGAGGAGGAACTGGAGGGTGGGCGCTACACTTCTGCTATAACGCCATCGGTTGATGCCGTTATCAGCTGTAACCGCCATATGAGAGTAGTGCAGCTAACCAGCGGGGCATGTTCACGTGCACTAAAAGGCAAGGGAGGCCGGCAATGTAAACAAAGCAAGGAGAAGCTCGGATTATGACACGCACAGAGGGAGAGCGACTTCATTCTCTGCTCAGTTAGACATTACTCCACTATATCTTTACATAGCCAATAGATACTATATTATTAATGCTCAGAATATCGTACAGAGAACCTTTAAAGCTGCAGTGTGTTGGATTTGATGGCACCTAGTGGTGAGGTTGCAGATTGCAACCAACTGAAACTTCTCCTGCGAGCCAAGCGTTTAGAGGAACTAAGGACATGTAGATATAAACAGCTCATTCTGAGGTAACGAAAAGCCAACGATTGTTATATTCAGGTGATTATACACTAACGATAACATACTTATTCATTTTGTATTCAATTTCTGCCAATAGATCCACACTGTTCCTTTACACAGGGCAAAATTAAATCATACATTGTGTTGTTTAAGAATTATATTCTAATTCCCTGCTTTTGCTGCTCATTCTAATTATAAATATTTGAAATGTGATTTTTTTTTTTTGGCTGGATTTACAACTGCTGACACTAGATCAGAAGAAATTAATAAAAAAAATAAAAAAAATGTCCTAATCATATGGAGAAATGTACCGCAAGTGAGAGTGTATTATTTCATTGGGTGACTTGTTATCTTTGGTTGGATGCTCAGTCAGTACTAATTGGGTAATTTGCAGGGAAAAACATCAAAATTAAAACAAGATGACGGAATGTCTGGGTTCATATCACCAACTATATTGTAGTTGTCAGAACCTGCAATCAGCTTCTCTGCTGAGTCGGTTTTTATTCAGAGACACAGACACTCCTCATGATACCAGCTACAACAGCTCCAGTTTTGGTATAATTTTTTTGTTTATGGTTGGATTGTATTCTAAACTCTTTTTCATATTCTCTAGGTGGGATTTGATCCTCACCACCACATACGTGTCCCTGGCCTTCCCCCTAACCTGTCAGGCATTCCTGGGGGAAAACCGTATGTTAATAAATCATTTAAAAAAACAAAACAATTAAATTTTTTCTCTATCTCTCTTTGTCACATTTTGCACGTACTTTTACCCCTTATTTCCCCCTTTCGTCCCTCCAGAGCCTACTCCTTTCACGTGAGCGCCGACGGACAAATGCAGCCCGTGCCTTTCCCCCCGGACGCGCTCATCGGCCCCGGCATCCCACGCCACGCGCGCCAGATCAACACCCTCGCCCACGGGGATGTGGTGTGCGCCGTCACCATCAGCAACCCGACGCGTCATGTCTACACCGGCGGCAAGGGCTGCGTCAAGGTGTGGGACATCAGTCACCCGGGAAACAAGACCCCCGTGTCCCAGCTGGACTGCCTCGTGAGTGTGCGGTGACCCCTTATGTGCACGCAGTGCTTCCTCATACATGGTTAAAATGCAGAACATGTAACTATCTTATGCATCGATGCTGTTTTAATGACAAAACTACCTCCGTGCGTCTGTCACATCAGAACAGAGACAACTACATCCGCTCCTGTCGGCTACTTCCTGACGGGCGGACTCTGATCGTCGGGGGCGAGGCGAGTACTCTGTCAATCTGGGATTTGGCTACACCGACTCCGCGGATCAAGGCAGAGCTGACGTCGTCCGCGCCCGCGTGCTACGCTCTGGCCATCAGCCCCGACTCCAAGGTCTGCTTCTCCTGCTGCTCCGACGGAAACATAGCCGTGTGGGATCTGCACAACCAGACGCTGGTTAGGTATGGAGCTGGGGAAGGGGGGGGCGGGCAGCAATGTGTGAGGGAGAAACACACATTTTGGTCCACAGTCCAGAAGTCCACAAAAGATGGTCTACCTCTGAAAAACACCAGGGACAGGCTTTGACGTTAGGCAGGGTGGGCAACCTGGGCATGGGGGCCCAACTAGAAAGGCCCCAAACATCTATAGATCTATAATGAGGTTTGCATCCGCGTGGATGATGTCCAGCAAACTTCACGGGTGTCCTTTTTGATTTTAATGTCGATCTGCAGGCAGTTCCAGGGCCACACCGATGGAGCCAGCTGCATAGACATCTCTAATGATGGGACCAAGCTGTGGACTGGAGGCCTGGACAACACCGTGCGGTCGTGGGACCTGAGGGAGGGACGGCAGCTGCAGCAGCACGACTTCACCTCCCAGGTACACAAAAACGCTTTTTCTAACATACAAACGCAACCATTTCCATTAGTGCTGCGACTCCACCTACCATTGTTATAAGAGCTCCAGCACGAACTGCTGTATGCACGCTAAATGTGGACATGGATGATAGTTTGTGTCGCAGAAAAATGGAATTAGTTCGCAGGTGTATGTTGCATTTAGGTTTGCTTTTGCAGCACTTTTTTATTATTTGTTGAAAAGTCTGCGTCTCAGGACAAGTCACAGTTTGTGTTATTACACTCTCTGGTTTTTGCTTCATTGCAGTAATTTACAAGCTTCGTTCAGAACGTTTAACCCCACCATAAAGTGCTCAAATACCTTTAACGCTAATAAAACACTGGCAGTTAGATATTTAGTTCATTCGGGTCAGGAGAAGAGCGGCAATAATAGACCATTACTGCAATTTTCCTTAAAAATGGCCCATTTCACAATCTTCGTGTGCACAGGGAGGAGGTGGGTGTGCGTTAAAGAGAGCTCAGAGAGTACAGGGCAGACAGGGAGAGACATGGCCAATAGAGTGCTAACGCTCTTCAATAATTTCTGTTCTAACCCCCGCCCCCTCCCTTGTGAAAAAAGTGCTTCAGCAATTTGAACACCAGCGATATGGCAAAGTAAAAAATAAAATAAAATAGTGTTTACCCGCTTTATAACGCCATCAGGCGTCTTCATCATCTGGAGAAGATATTGTTGTGATTTGTTTCAAAAATGAGAATTGACTAAATCATTCACCCACCTCATTTCATGATACATAATTGCTGCTGGCAGGATATGTTGCATACCTAATATGATTTTAGAAACTGAAAAAAAGCCATCTGTTTTGACAGATTAGTATGAAATGCTGATGATGGTGTAGAAAAGCGCAGCAGCGGATGTTTGCCAGCATCCATAGATATGTTAATATCAGTGGCCACCCTTGCAGACAAACACAGTAGACTAATACTAGAGACCATCTTGTGATGAGCTGAAACTAGCCGCAACGCCAATCAGGACCTGGGGCATAAAGGAGGGGGCTGGTGATGGCCCCTTCCCAACATCCTACCCCCGACTTCCGACACCCAACAAGCTAGTTGTCTGCTAGTTAGCTAGCTAGTTTGCTAATTCCACCATGCTTTGATGCTACATTTGTTACAGAAAATGAGCCGAACAAAGATGTCATAACATTACCACTCCGCTGCTCGTTTTAGTCATTACTACAAAACCTAAGCCTCAGGGAGTCAGCAACTCGCCGTAAGTTCATGTGGAAGTTAGCCCGCTACAACGGTGGCAATAGCAACAGTACACATAAAAATGGCCGCCACTTTGACCATCCTTCTACGTTGATTTGAATGGGAATGTTCGTTCTACTCCTATTCTATTTCTACAGCGTTGACAACATCTGTCCACAGACAGACAGACAGAAATATAAACACCTGGCAAAGTACTCCAAACCACCTCTGTGGTACTTCCTGCTACAGTAGGTGTCTCCAGGACCATGATGACAAACACAGACTCTCAAAGTGAAAACAATACCAGCGTCGCTGTCGCGGCTGGTAATAAGAGATTATGTTTTGTATTTATATACACTACAAGAGGTATGAATACCATAACTGTTCACTGCAGATCTTCTCACTGGGATACTGTCCAACGGGTGAGTGGCTGGCAGTCGGGATGGAGAACAATAACGTGGAGGTCCTGCACGTCACCAAACCTGACAAGTACCAGCTCCACCTGCACGAGAGCTGTGTGCTCTCACTCAGATTTGCTCACTGTGGTAAGAATCACAAACACGTTCTTATCAGTGTTTTTTGAAAAGGGCTTAAGGGAAGGGAAACCGATTAACGTACGCTCCAAGTCTTGGGGAAATTGAATCGTTGATCAAATTCTGTTGAATTTGAATATTGATGACAACTGTAACTTAAGCATACATGGGGTGATCTTATGCAGTAGAAATAATTACAATTTAAATTAAAAATAAATTTTGGGGAGACCGTGGCTCACTGGGTTAAGAGGGTTATCTGGAACCGGAAGGTCAACGGTTCAATCCTCGACTGGGATGTGTCACGTGTCGAAGTGTACCTGAGCAATACACTGAACCCCAGGCTCCCTGAGCGCCTGTCATTGGCAGCCCACTGCTCCCTATATACAGGGATGGGTCAAATGCAGAGACAAATTTCCCCCTTAAAGGGATCAATATAGTATAATAAATTAAAATTAAATTAAATTTGTAGCAGGTTAGTGCTACATAGTGACTAAAGGATATGAGAATGTGATTAAATGTCTTCGCTTCATGTAGGAGACGGGATTACACAATGTAAATTAAGTTGATTGTCAGAGGAAGCATTGTACAGCCAGAAATCATAATGGACCAAGAAAATACAAGCCAATAATTACTTTTTAGTTGTGAAGATTCAGAGTTCTGGTTAAGCTGGAATCAGCCAACAAGCACCAGTATGTTATTATCTACAGGAACAAATGTCATCAAAAGTGATTTTGATGTTTATTTTGGCATCACTTAACGGTTAAATGTCCCAACATTTTTATTACGACTAACTTGTTTTATTTTGAAGCCACCAGTTTGTCTTTCAATAATGTGTTGCAGACAATAAATGTAGAATCATACTAATTAAAAAGTAAAGAAACAATGGGTTTCGAGCGCAGTGGTGCCGTTGTTGCGTTCTGTGTGTTTTTTTAAACTGTCGTTTTTGTCTTGAGTACTTTGACACAAAATGTGAATAGACATCGAGGCATCAACCAAACAGACGAATTCAAAACTTACGTTATAGTGTTCAACAACACGGGGGCTCTGAAGTCTGAACCGAGACGACAAACTTTATTAAGGCAGCGCAGACCCACTCCTTCTGTTCTTACTTTCCACAATAAAAGCCCTTGACATATACACTGTTTACCAGAGGGAACTCAAATTCACTCGGAGCATTTCACAAAAAAAACCTGCTGAACGGTAGCTCAGGCTATACTACATTTGACCTCAGAGAGTCTGCCAGACGCTGTGGGTCAATAGGATCCTGGTAGGCTGCGTGAATCTATTTGAACTTTTTGTAAAAAAAAGTGCAGCAGCTTTCACAAATTCGTACCACTGCTGTTATGAATAGTTTTGATGCATAATATTCACATCGAGCATTTTCGTGTCGTTTTTTCTTTTTTCCGCCTAATGTGGTTTGTCGTCCTCTGCAGGTAAGTGGTTTGTGAGCACGGGAAAAGACAATCTGCTCAACGCATGGAGAACCCCGTATGGAGCCAGCATATTCCAGGTAAGTGTGTGGAGGAATGTACTGCAAGAATATGAATAAATGCCAGATACAGCGCAGTCTAAATGTACTCTTTACACAAACAACATTGCGGAACTGGATGGAGAAATGAGTCATCACCTGTCTGCGCATGACTCAATGTACTTACTCAAAAAGCCCAGAGAGGGCAGAAGGCCATGTGGGCCTTCGTCCCAATCTGGGCTTTCCCCCCCCCACAGTACTCAAGTGCACTTTTCACATGTTCTCGCCTCTTTTGTTCCCCTCAACAGTCGAAGGAGTCGTCCTCCGTGCTGAGCTGCGACATCTCCATAGACGACAAGTACATTGTGACGGGCTCGGGAGATAAGAAGGCGACCGTCTATGAGGTCAACTACTAGGAGGTGGAGGCCACGCTTTCCAGCCGGGCGTCCCCACCGCCTGTGTACAGTTTTTAACGTGTATGAAACGGATTTGAGTGGAACCAACCAAACCAAACTTGATTCTTTCTTGGACCTTTCTAGCTGGTCGTGGATCAAAACAAACAGCAGAACCAAGCACAGAGATTTTTTTTTTCCTACTGAGTGGCTTTCTTTGTTGTCGGGAGGATGAGTGAATGTCCGTGTGCACTGAGTCTGGAGAGGCTGCTGTTGTTACTGCGTTACACTTTCAGCTGTTGTTAAAAGTGTAACATTCCTTTACAACCTTTCGGCCTCTTTTTTTTTTTTTTTTTTTTTTTTTTTTTTTTTGCACGGACAAGCAGCTACGTCGTTCACATGCTTGCCTTTGTGCTCGGTGCGAACCTGCCGGCTTTTTACAAAGAATCAAGGCCAGACCAAGACACCAGAATTGTTTCTTTTAGAATTTGGCACATCATGAAGACAATTAATTAAAAATCGCAACACTTGAAAGGGTTACTGTAAGGTCAATGTAAATATCACACTGGGGAAATTTCCCTGCAAAACCTTGAACATCCTTGTTCCACATCCTGATATACTGACCCTCATTTACGTAGATGCACTTAACACGTATTTATTTATTCCAAAAGAGCTTCCTGTGGGTACATGCATTTTTTGATTGTTTTGTTTGCACAGCTTTTACTAATGTGAGATCTAAATTTAGTGTTGTAATTCTTTTCAACACATTCTGATTTCCAACTTGTCAAATACCGACGCTTGGTCAGTGGCCCTGGGCTTCTAACTATGACGCTCTACGCACAGTTTAATATTGAATTCCACTGCTCTTCTTGGCAAGACCCGCCGATTTATGCTAAGCTAATCTGACCAGCTGCTGGCTGCAGCTAAGTATGTACCGTTCTCACATGAACTGTTCCTTGAAATGCAGCTTTTGTCGATTAACTTTTGATATTTATTTCCATCAATGTTTTCATTTATTTTCCCTCATAAGTGTGTGTGTGTGTGTGTGTACCGTCTGGGCTTTGAACAAACCCACTAACAAGATTGCCCTCAGAGCCCTCGCTCACTACTGCGTGACCTTTGCTCTTGGTTCTGCCCCCTCAGTTGAGACTCCTCCGGACGCTCGCTGGATTCTCTGTGTGACAGATTTCAGTGAAACCTTTATTGGTGTTTGGAGGTCAACCAGTCCTCCATTTCCTGCCTGGATTTGTTTTTTTGTTCGGACACAGAAAAAAAAAGTGGTCATCGACACGCTCTCTTGGATTTATTTCTGTTGGCTTGTAGAAACAACACAGTGCCTTTATGCTGCTGCGCTTCTGACTCGTCCCCGCTGAGTGTTCAACTGCACCGAGAGGAAAGGTGATGGATGAACTAAGGATGGATTTTATTAACAAAAAAATATAAAATCAGTCATGAGCAAATGAACACGGTAACCCAGGTGGTCCAGTCCAGTTTGTATCAATTGTCTGTCGTCCACTCTGAAGTAATCAGGACCAAACTCCTGTCGCACGTGAAATACACTTATCATGGCAGCTGCTGCTTCAGTCTGATTGTTTGAAGCACAGGTGCCAGTAAACGGAAGCTTTTGAAGCAACGATACCCTCTACTTTACTTTTTCTTTCTGCTTTCAAGCTTCGTTCTTGTTCTCGTTGTACATCGCAAAACACAGCGCATCAGTAGTCGGCGGCGGCGATGCGATTCCCTGCTAAATCCTGGGGTCTAACACAGGGGGTCTCCACATTTTTTTTTTTTCCTCTGAGGGTTAATTAGACAAAATGAAAGTGGCCGGGAGCTACTCATGGTTGTACATTGCCAATAGCAGACATCATTTCTGTTTTACTCTTATGGTCCTTAAATAACGTTTCAGCTACCGCAGTCATTAGCGAATGGCTTTTTGTGTGTCGTTAGGATGTGCGCAACTAAATGAAGCCTCTGTTGCCGCGCCGCGTAGGCCTTATTAGTCGGTTTGGTAAGCAGAAACTGTTCAGTCTTTTAAGCATTCTCGTTTTCAGCTCCTTCACATTCTCTGTTCGTAGACAGCTAGCAGCCGGTCCCGTGTTAAGTTGCTGTGGACTTTGGTAAAGCCGCGCTCAACACTTGCTCTGTAAATGAGACACACACAATTCATTCACATTCGAGAAAAAGAAACATTTTATAATTTTAGATAAATATATTATTTGCATTTTTTTTGGCCTGGTTTTGTTTTCTGAGCCCATTGTCAAATTTGGTGTGCTCTTGCTAGTCTGCGTCACTGCGGTGTAACTTGTTTAATTTGAAGCTAATTGGCAAATATTAATTTTGTGTCAAAAGGGAGCGGGATGTCTGTGAATTCAATCGGAGGAAATGTAAACAGGTTTAACAAATTTTGAATGTAAAAAAACATTTCCAACCTGCAAATCAAGAAGGAAAAGACGCCAGCAGTGAACAGAGAGGTTTCCAGATTGTGTTGATAGTAGTTTTACGTCTCTGCTGTTCTTTTTTTTAAACTGATGAAGAGCGAAGTGCTCTTACCTAGAATTATGACAACCACCTGTCTGAGTATTTTACTATAAGCTCTTAATAGATATATATATATATATATATATATATATATATATTAAAATTGGAAAAATACCTGTTTCAGAGCACGCCCTTCCTCAGTTAAATGCCAAGGAGAAGCCTATTTAAAGATAACGTCTTTACAATATTCATATTTTTTGTGTGTGTGGCAGACAGATCTGTATTTGAGTAGAAGAAACTACTGATTATAACCGCACCGGTGTGAATGCAAAAGGGGCCTTTTTTTGCAGCAAAGCCAACTGTTAAGAGAAAAAGTCCAATGTGTTTGATACCTGGGGGACCCTATGTAAGATACTACACTGTACTGACTGATGTATTTGTAATTTATTTGACATTGTACATTTTGAAGGACTGTCCATGATGTTGGTTTGTTTTTTCACAGTGTTCGCCTTATTCTGTGCTTTCAAATTAAAATGACGATTCGTTGCTCAGCTGCGTTTTTCTGCCCTTGAATAAATCATACAATCTGTACTGAAGAACTGCTGTGCAACCTACGCCCTCATTAATAGTGGGGAAAAAATACAAAGCACACTTTGGTTGTACCTACACTGTATGTCAAGAGTCAAACCTCGATGGCTCATTTGATTGCTGCGAGTTAGCTGGCTGACATGACCTGATACAGACATGATGTCACGTGCACTACTGATGTGTAGCGCATTTAGCTTGACTGAACTCATGAAGGTGTTCTACATTGACTGTAAACATGTTAAAATTTGAGCGTCCAGTGCAAAGAAACTTCCTGTTGCTCATTTTTGTCTTTCCTCTTCAATACAAAATGCCTTTGCGCTCTTTCTTTTCTAGTCTGTGGTTGATTTTATTAAATTGTTGTGTGGAGCATTTTGTCTTGAGACTTTCTGAGAAGTTCTGCAACAATGATTCTTTGTTCCAGTGGTGGAAGAAGTACTCAGATTTACTTCAGTAAAAATAATAATGGCACATGGTATAAATACTTTAACAGTAAAATTCATTCAAAATGTTACTTGGATAAAGTACAAAAGTATTAGCATCAGAATATACTTAAAGTGCTCCTAATGCAGAATGGCCTATTTCAGAATCATATATATATATATAAATATATATTCTTAAATTGAATTATAATGATTGAGGCATCAAAGGTTAAACGTCACTTTAATGTTGCAGCTGGTAAAGACGGGTCTATTTTTAAACTTGTAAATTCCCCCTGGGGTTCAGTAACGTCTCATCTTAACCTATTGTAATAATCATTTATTTGTTGATTACATTTTGAATTATTATTAATCAGAATTTGGGAAATATTTGCAGTAGTAGTAAAGTGCAAAGTTTGCCTCTGAAATGGACTGTAGAGAGAAAAGAGTAGCATGAAATATAATCACTTAAGTAAAGTACAAGTACCTCTAAAATTGTACTTATTACCACTGAGTATATCTTCATTTCTGTGGTACAACTGAAAAAACATTTAGTTTGAAAGTACGTTTCGAGTCCTCTCTACTCACACAGCTGAAGAAAATGACCTTGTTCTTCCTCTGTGGTGTTACAGTGCGCATCAAAGAAGGATTTTCTCTATCTTTGAAGAATATCCTCGGCATTTGATCGTGTGCCAGTAATGAAAAGTGGATTGCAGGTGTGATGGACTTATGACACAAGTTAACCTTCAGTCAGTAAGAGCAGATTCCTACCTTCCTGCAAAAAAAAGTATTCAATGTTCAAAGCACAACACTTAACTTGTCGACTGGTTTCCACATATTTCATTCCTCAATTCACACATTTGTGCATAGCAACTTTTTACTGGACTCATTAACAACCTGCCTCTTTCCTGTGCATGCCCAGGGCATTAATATTCTAATGCTTTCCTTGACAATCTAATACAACTACCGCACAATTACACTGACTACAGCCTGCTGGCTGCCAGCCACAGCAGACATTTCCTTTTTGCATTAAGGTTGCAAACTTTCTGCCCTTGAAAGAAACTTGCAGCTCTGTCTTGTGGCAAAACAACCAGAGCAAGAGCTTTTACCTCAGTTTTCCCTTTCGATTTGATTACTTTTCAGCTGTGGACTTACCACTAAAGCTACTGACACATCTTTCTGTCCTAACCTTCTTTAAACTCCTAAACCTGCCTCTGAATCCTTGCTCCGCATGAACAGAAAGCAGATGCTTCAATGTAACGCATTCACTTTGTCTCCTTATGTTATTAACTATAGCCATATTGGGTTCTTCGGCCTGTCCCCATAGGAGAACCACTTTTGGTTGGTAGAACTTTTTATAAAGGCTCTACTTTGAACCCTTTCAGGGGGTACTACCTAGAACCCAACATAAAGAGTTGTACCTAGAACCACATGTGAAAGGTTCCACCCAGAACCCTCTTTGGAGGTCATATCCAGAGTCCTTCCTCCTAAGAATGCTAGCAAGAACTCACCTTGGGGTTCTACTGACAATCTTTTTATATTCCAAACATTTAATCTAGAACCCACCCAGGGGGGTTCTACCAAGATCCCCTTTATATTCCAAGGGTTTGATCTAAACCACCAGGCGGTTCCACAAAGACTCTTCTTATATTCCAAGGGTCTCATCGAGAACTACTCCGGGTTTTTTTTATTTTCCAAGGCTTTCATCTAGAATCTAACCCAGGGTGCGTACTCTTCCTTTTTATCACCAACAGCGTTTCATATTCCAGGGCCAGGTCTTATTTGGTGACACAAAAATCATGGTTCACAATCACAGCTTTTTGGGTTTCGAGTTTTGGGTGTTCTCTTTCAACACTCAAGTTTTCAACAATCCATGAAGAACTCCTTCTAAAAAGGTTTCTTTTAAAAAAGGGGTTCATAATTAAACCCATAGTCTTTCTAGCACCCTTGAAAACCCTTTATTCTAAAAAGGGTTCTTCAGAAGGGTTCTTCAGAAGCAAATGGTTCTGTGCAGAACCTCAGCCCCTCAGGAAGAACCCGTTTGGAACCTGTATTTCTAAAAGTGTTTTCTTCCTCGTTATCTCTTTGTCTACATTCAATATAAACTATCACAAACCTGTATTAGAAGGATATGATCAACACTAATATCATTATAATTATAATTAATCATCTATGTCCTCTTTAAAGTATAGTGTGATAAACTTAATTTTTCCGAAAAAAAGCCTCTCGTAGCATACTCCACGTCCATATTAAGTGAGCTGAGAAACGAGGGTTTCAAGGGTTTCAGTGTGGCATTTTAGTGCAAGCTGACGGGTCAATGCAGTCTCTGTCTAACCTCCCATTGTGAACGTGCTGCGTTCACGCGGAGCACAGCGCTGGACTGCTGAAGTGGATTAAGTGATGTAAGTGAGGTCTGTGGAGGAGGACACTCCACCATTACAGTGAATGATACTCCTGTTACAACTCTCCAACCGGCACTTCAAACAACCAAAAGTGGGAGAGAAGGAGGAAAGGTGGGGATGCAACGTGGGAATGAGCCAACCCTACTTCAACATTTTATA